AACATCTTTCAGGTTATGTTATACCTTGAGTAGGAAAGCTTATGGAAGAAAAATCTTGTGTGTTCAGTGAGGTTTCTGGTATGAAGATTTTTGTTCCCATCATATGTTAAAAATAGAATCTAGGAATTTTCTAATGATGGTGTAATTATCTGCATCACTATTTAATGATGATACACCCTCAGAGATGTTTTAGACACAAAATAATTGTTACATTTTCTGTAGTTTGCTTATTCTATACTTCAATTTTGAGTTCATAGAGTTTCAAGATGAAGTGCTGTTTTCTGTTCCTAATTCGTATTCTATCTCGCACAAAATATCTTCTTTAAAGAGTCAGTTTATTTAACATTATAATTCCTTACTTAACACATTAATTATGCACTTAGTGATAATGTGTACGACATCTATAGTAGCTGTTTGAAGATAAAGTTCAGGGTTTCTTCCATTATATTGAGTGACCCCCAACTGTCATGTTGTGGAGTGCCAAGTATATAGGTTCTGTACTGACTGACAAATTGATTGAAAAATAATGTTACACGTCTACATGAATACCAAAATGTGGAAAAATATCAGAACTTTCATTAATATAAAGATTTATAAGATGTATATGATATTTTGATACAGTTAGAGTAATGTGTATTTAATACCTGTGAAATTATAATGTTATTTTATAGGTATCTTTACAGTAATTCAGTGTAAATTATTTTCATATTCTCACTAAAGTATTGTCAAATTAACACATTCACTGCCAATCCTATCACCTGACTGCATGTCAGTGGTGATTCTTCTGAGACGCTGTTGCCATTCGCTATGTATGTATATGTCATTTTCTCTTACACATGTCACTCAAATGCAGAGAAAGTCTTCATATTCATATTCATATTTAATGTGTCTTCCAGAGATCTATGTACTATACATAGATATAGAATCCATTATCGTTTATACTAGTATAGGTATAGTTTCTTAAAGTTCGAAAGAGTGGAGATGTACAGGGACTGTTGACTGTTTTTCACACTTCATTATCCATTTTTGTTCTGAATGTAGTAAGTTAAAGATTCAATTTTTGTGGAGTAATGGCTGGTCTGGTAGGTAAAATTCCAGTTTGGGAGAATGGCAATAAATGCATTAAGGTATCGGGACTTTTAACAAAACTGATTGTTTATTTTAAATGTTTTTCATTCAGAATGGTCTTGAATGTTACACATTTCTCCTGTGACATCAAGAGATCAAGAGTTGAAAAGATCCGGTGAACATGTGACATGATGTACTGTATAACCATGAATCAGCCAGAAGTTTTGGAACTAGGAAGGCAGGTTGTGATTGCTTCCTTTGCTGTATTCCATTCTTCCTAATTACTGCTACAGTCTTTACAATATTTTCATTTGACTCAAAGATCCAAGATACCAAGGTTTTATTGCCTTGTTTAATACAGTGACCCATTCATCCAATCCTTGTCTTCTCTGTTAATGAAATAATGCATGTTTACTGAACATTTTAAAACTCATTAAGTCCCACACAGTTGCTTCCTGTTGAAAGATGTATGTAATTTGGTGATGTCCTGTATCAGAAAATGTAACCGAAATTAGAGATAAAGTCAACACCACATGTGAGACTAAATTTTCTTTTAAAATTCAATGCTGTCTTGTCTTTCTCACTGTGGCTGTCAAGATTAATACATAGGGTACTTGTACTCATATATTGTATTGTTATAATATATTTAATGTAATGTTACCGAACATCATTGTCAAGTGGTTAGCAATTCTGCTTCATATTTGGGATATTCTGGGCTCAAGTCTGAGCCCCCAGCTATCTTGACTGAGGTTTATTGTGGTTCTCTGCAGATCCTCCTAGTAGATTCCAGGCTAATACCTTGAATTAGGTGATGACAACTTTCTCCCAAATTGTTTTCAGTCCATTATTTGCTAATCATCCCTTCGTTTGATGCTATATAATCTGAGCATCATTGAACAAACCATAAATAAAATGGGACATTCATTAATGATCCACAGAAATTATGAAGACTGAATTGACCAAGGACCCAACATCTGCCCTTATGATGATGGAGTACCAGGTAGTTATATCATGGAAGGTAAAATTCTTCTAGCCTGATGAATGGAAAATATCTGAGAATAATATCTTCTGGAATGTTAAGGTCTGGTAGGCATTTGCCATTTTTTCTGAAGAATACTGGTAAGCATTTTCCAGACTACACAGTGTCACATCCCATAAGGTATTACCATACATAGTCACTGCCAAGAGAACCTCAAATCGAACACCATATGCAGGAAGTCTTCTTCCATACAGTACAATAGGAATGGCATTCAGCTGATGTTGTGATATTGTTATTACATAATATACTCCTAAACGTTGTTTGGTCTAAAAGAATATTAACTTCTGTATTATAATTTTACTGTTGATTTATTTTCTAGCAATTTAACACTAAAGTAATTTGGAATTTTAGGCAGTTTTATTTGCTTAATTTTGCACTATGCATGAATTCATAACAAAACCATTAGACAAGTAAATATTTAACAAATGTTATAATTTGGTAGGATTAGCAATAATGATACAATGTTCAGTGAATCTTGTTATATTTAATGGGACATTTTAGACTGTGAACATTAAAAAAATATATAAAGTTATATGAGATTGTATGTTATATAACTGTATCTAATATCTAATTATCATAGTGCCTTAAAAGACACGTAAATCTGTTGCCTTATGTCTCTAAGATGTTGTTTATAAAATGAACACTTACAGCAGGGATTTAAAAATGCCTAAGTGCAAGTGTGCCATGCTTTGGTAAATACAATGTTGGTACTGCTATTTTTACACTACACGACTTTAATGTTAGCTATAAGTAATGTTATGTAATTATTTTTATGATGTAGCAAACAGAGTTTTGCTCAATGTTACAGCCCTTTTTGTACAGTGTGTGTATTTAATACATAGTTTTAACACTCTTTGTGAAAAAAGTTGACTACTCTCAAAACAGAGGTGGTGTAATGAACATGCAGTCTTCCTTATTGTGTACGCAGAAGCATATTTAAGATTTTATATTTTTGCACAAATAGATTGTGCTTCACTTCTTATGTACTACAAGTGACTGCATGTGGAAAATATGCACTTTTGGATATCATCTCAAACTGAGGTGTTTTGCATTGGTTGCCTTGACACCATCAGATATACAGGAAGACTTTTTTTTCCATTTCATGCATCCTGTTGTATTATAATATACAATTTCTTTATTAAAACCGTCACAACACAACTATATTAAGGTCAGTGTCCAGTTTGGCTCTGACGATTTTAATAAAGAAATTGTATACAGCAATACATTACCTAGGTACAGTTTATCTCAGAAAGCTTCCTATAATGAAATTCTCTATGTTACTGCCTTGTGAGTACATTTCTGCCTTGTTTGGTGTTATTTTGTTAGAAAACCAGAAATATCCAGTTCCATAGGTAATACTTTTTGAATTTCATTTTACCATTTCATATGATTTTGTATGTTCTTTTTCTTAAATTGCTTTTTTATGGATATACTACCTGAAACAACAAATAAAAACCAATTAAGGGTACAGCAGTACATAAAAAGTACATGTATTCTCAGTAGTTCTTGTAATTTTATATTGCATTTCTACTTATATTCTTTGATACAGAAATACTGGAAGTTTGGAAACAAAAGCAGCTTTACCAGTCCCTGAACACTAAAATAAATAACTTGTAATTAAAGATTCAAAAACAGAAGGAGACTATTTATTTCATTCAACACATTGTCATGATTGAAGAGTGCAGATCAATAAAGGCCAGGGTCTCCCAAAGCTTAAAAATGTGTTTGTTGTGCATTGGTTATCTGTGAGTTAGTACCAGCACCCATAAACCCTTTAAAGAGTCCAAGAAATCCATCAGAAACAGGGAGACTGCTGTCCTCTGGGATGTGATGCTTATACGCAGTTACCAATATTCTGGAGGAAACTGCTGCTTCCATCTCTTTCTTCTTCCCTGATTATGGAGGTGGCAGGCATTTCCCAAATGCTGGTAATAGACAGTAGCCAAAAAAGTTATATGCTGCTGCGACTGCAGGGGTTCAGTTGCAAAAAAAAAAAATTGGTTGTTAGCCTCAGTGAGCTTGGAAGCAAGCCTTACTGATGGGCGGTAAACTGCCAGTCGTAAAGTAACTGGGGCTTTGAGACAGACTAGTTCTGCGTTGGAAATGAGTGCTTGCGTGGGATAGCAGGTGGTAGCCAGTGGTGGCCAGACATGGCTAGGAGTCAATGGCCTGGAGTTGTGGCCGTAAGGTGCTGTGAGACAGTCGGTAGCTGGTAAGGACGCGAGCACAGAAGCTGAGAAATCAACGGTGTTCAGATCCGTTACCGAGCAATGACTGGTCTAGGCACAGCAGACTGAGAAGGCTTAATGCGTGCTGTAGTGAATTGCATTATGTGTGACTTAGCTATAGTGCTGGGCTGCGCCATAGCTCAAGCAGTTTGTCGCTGGCTTCCCACCGCAGCAGCTTGGGTTTGAGCTCGGGTCAGGTTATGTGGGATTTGTGGTGGACAAAATGGCGCTGGGGCAGGTTTTCTCCAAGTACTTCGGTTTTCCCTGCCAATCTTCATTCCACCAATTGCTCCACAATCACCCTCACCTGTCATCTGGGGCTGCAGTACAAGACACTTAGTCCCACCCCACTAATAAAAAAATAATAGCTATAGCGCTATAATCATTTGTAGTTATAATTTTTATGGTCCATCAAATCCGATTACCAATCCAATCCGTCACTAGACACTTAAAACGTGAGATATAATGAAACAATCACGAAATTTGCAGGTCATGCTTCTGGAGTATCAACTGATATGTTAACTACTATGAATATTTTTTTCCATATAGTCAACGAAAATTCAACGAACCCGCCGTCTTGCCATACACGTAGGTAATCCATGATTGTATACCCATTGCGACTTCTTCTGAGAGTGCGTGTAGGCAACTATGCAGAGGGATAATGCAGTTGCATGTAGACGATGTAGACCATGTTGACGAAACGTCATTATCGTTTCATCCGTTTCATCATTGCCGTTTAGTTGTCGCTACGGTCGCTTTGGTTATATTTCTTTTTCTATATCACTTGGGACTGAGTGTAGAAGTAATACCATTCACAATCATTTTTTCGCATTAAGTACAAAATTTATGGCGCAGACAACAAATACTGTGATCACTGGTAACCGATAATCGCAGGAACGTACCTGGCATATAACGTCAGATCCTGTAGTGGTTTTGTAGAAAAATGGAGGACTGAAGATACGGAAAGCTGGGGCTTTGTTCCAGTTATTTCTAGTTTTGTTAGATACATCTGAAGCATATTTGTAGTTCCCCAAATCGTTCTGTGTATTTTATAAAAACTAAAAATCATGTCCACTCCAGCAAGGAGGCGTCTAATGCGTGATTTTAAGAGGTGAGTGATACATTCATGAATGACCCTTGAAACTTTGCCAGTATCGTATTTAGCAGCGATTGAAAATCGTCACCGTAAGGACAATAGAAATTGTTTATTATTTGTTATAGTTGATTCGTAGAACGAAGGAGTATTTTGTATATATAAGATCGTTTGGCCCACAAAGTCTGGTAACTAATTAAGATACAGTATTAATGGAGGCCTTGTGAGAATGGAAGTGGAAGGTCAGTATTGTCTTTATATGAATTTTAATAACGTTGCATCAGTATCATGTTGTGAATTCACTTTGGTTCTACAGGAAGTCAGCGTTGGAACTGTAGTTAATAAACCCGCTGGTAATTTTTGTTATTCAGTCTGAAATGTATTTAATACCTTTACGATATTTATTACCTTGGAATTTAGGAAGGGAAATTATATGCCAGGTGATTACTATTTAAATCACATATGACTGTATTCAGAGTTTCAGAATACATAAGCATATTGTGTAATTGTGACATGTCAAATTGTTACACAATGACATTTTACATTTAATGAGCCTTTGTTGTAGTGTTACATTATTTACAGTTCTGTATTAACGAGAATGCACGGTATATTAAGTTATATTCACTAAGAGCTTAGCAGTAATATAGCGATATAATAAGCATTGCACATTTTAACATCTTGACTGCACATCAACTTTTCTGTTTGTGTGTATGTGTAGACAGATATACAGCAGATGCTTCTTGTAAGTGCTAGAAGGCATGTTGTATGATAGGTCAGAATACATTATAGTACAATCACAAAATATTTATAAATGCAGTACAGTTGCTTGTAATAGGCTACCTGCTGTGAAATTTCATTTGATGGTATGTTTTATCTTTTGACAGTATAGCAAAGTATTTGGATTTATAACTGGTGATAAATATTGGTTTAGACTTTTTGTGGTGTCATACAGTCTATGCTTTCTGGAAAAGACAGCCACAGACACTGAAAACATAATGCATTGTGTTTTACTGCCAGCTTCAGGAAGTAAAATTCTGTTGAACATTCTGAAGAAGGGTGCTATATAGTTTCCAAGTAGGAAGAAGGTTAATCATCACAAGCACTCAGTCACTTGCATGGAACAGAATTTAATTTATTTATAGTCCATAGCATAGTTGGTATAGCAACTGGCTATGGGCTGGAGGACTGAGGGGTTTGAGTTCAAGCCCCGGTAGGGTCAAGAATTTTCATTTCTCCAAATCATCTAGACTGGCTTTGGGGTCCACCCAACCTCCTATCCAGTGGCCACTGGTGGCTCTTTCCCCGGGGTTAAAGTGGCCAGGCTGTGAAGCTGACCACTCATCTTCAGGTAATGCCAAGGTCAAGAAAATGTGGATCTGTACATCTGGTTCCCCATACACCTTCATGGCATAGTGCTTAATTCATTGAGCACAAGGAAAACTTTACCTTTTACTATTCTACCATTGATCCTTAACAGTCCTAATCCAAGGATGCATAACATGTCATGATATGACTGCGGTATGTAATATCCATGCGAATACATAGTTGATACGGCCTTTCACAGACTTCATGTAAGAATATTATAGAGACCAGAATAATTCTATAAAATATTTACTTTTTCGTGCTGTTTACTTTTGATTATCTGTGTGCCATATCTTTTAAACACAACAATTTGCTAGCTCATCCTTCCATCTGTTTAAGCAACTTGAAAATCACTGATGGAGTTTCATGAAATTTAACATTGGAGAATTTGAAGAATTGTCAAGCCAGTTTTAGTTTTCATTGAGATTGAAGAATTCATACAACCCCTGCACACGAAGACCTACACACGTTTCTGCACATATCTTGAGCTAAATATTTGAGAGATTAAAGATTATTTTGAACAAAAAGTGTAGAGAAAAATGAATTTTTATGCTCATTACAGTTTTTCTACAAGTCTTATGAAATTGGACGCTGTGCATACATTTCCGAATTTCTCTACACTCACCTGTTCCTGTGGTCTTCAATCACACTTGTAACTTCAAAATTTCGGTCATAAATTTATTATTATTATTATTATTATTATTCATGCCTTTTTATCCCATCAGTAGCTTTAACATAAGGTAGTATACTGTATTTACAATGCATAAGATGCGCTTTACTTATGCCTTCTGTGGGGGGCTTGTGTTGTTACTTCAGTTTCAGGTCTTGACATTTCAACCTCAACTATAAGCCTTTGAAGATTTGGTACATAAAGACACTGGATCTGGGTTTTGTATGTGGAGAAGTTTATCAGTTTGGATAATTACATATTTAAAAAATGTGATCATTCTTAATATTTTATATATTAGAACAGTGAATTCAGTATGTGGTGTTGAAGGGAAGAAACCAAACAGTTATATAATGTATTGTATTCTGGATATTTAGTTATTGATCTGTCTGTTCACACTCAGTTATCATTCACTAACCCTGTGAAATCCAACATTCATCAAAACATTTAAATAATAACTTAGATGTACCTCACAGTAAACACACTGCATCAGGTGTTATTACTCAGCGGAGGACTATTTGAACGATGAATTCTCGAATATTGGCTACTGATATAAGCAGAAGTATATAGTATATAATGTATAAAATGTTGTATATCTTATATAATTTTTTAGTATTAAGATTGTTGTAATTTAATAATGTAAATTAGCTGAAAGACTTGTCCTATATCATTGTAACATGATCTACAGGATTAATAAAAGAATGAATGAATTACATATATCCAGCCAACTGTGAATATGGAAATAAGTACGTTGTGTTTCAAGAATCATACATAACCTACAAATATTTATTTATTTATTTATTTCATCATTATAGATCATTGTTACATGATATAGGACAAGTCAGTTACTGTACATTGGCTGATTACAATAAGAGAATAAAGTTACAATACTTAAAATTGTTTACAATAGATTACAGTAGATTACAATAGTTAAGATTTCATATAGTGTGAGGTGGAATCCATACCCTCGGCACATCGGCTTCCATATGTCCTGTTGTACCTGTACTGGTGATAATGCTTATGGAGAATTTGATGGAATGAGGATTGGCAGGGGAAACCAAAGTACTCGGGGGGGGGGGGAACCTGCCCCAGCGCCACTTTGTCCATCACAAATCCCACTTGACTAGACCGCAGCGGTGAGAAGCCAGCAACTAACCGCTTAAGCTATGGCGCGGCCTTTTAGATAATATTGGTGAATTTGGTATGTGGGCAGAATGCAAAAATTTTTAATGTTGACGCAGGTAATATGTGTGGTAAGCATTGTGATACTGTGTTAGTAGACAAAATTTCGGAATCAGTGAGAGTACTATGGTTGTACTTGTTTTTGAGATGTATCCAGTTTGTACTTTGGCCATGCTGTCAGCCCATGCAGATATTTTCATAATTTTTGTCGGAGTCTCTGGGTGAATGCTGTAATAATACAAAGGCAAATCGAAAAGTCTTTGCCCCAATTTTTTTCAGCCACAATAATACACCTACAGGAAAATCAAAATACAGGCGGTGTTCTAGGTACCTTTGACTATTTTTCCACATAGTCACCACCCCGGTTCAGGCATTTGTCCCATCGCATCACTAGTTTGGAGATGCCACTGTTGTAGAATTCGGCCAGTTGAGTGCGGAACCACCGCTGGGCAGCAGTTTTCGCGTCATCAGAAATGAACCTCTGGCCTGCCAGGAACTTCTTCAGTGGACCGAACACGTAATCACTGGGGGTTAGGTCATTGTCACCAGAGATGAAATGTGAGTACTGCATTTCACTCCAGAATCCAAGTGGCAGAGCATGGTGTGGAAACATCATGGTTCGACAGTCACGAAGAAATTCTGCAGAATGCCATCTGTCGGGAAGTTGATGGTCACGGTCTTCTTGGATCGCCGAGGACCACTGCTGCTGGATTTCATGCCACGAGGTGCCACCATCAACACGGACAGTTATTGTGGCACACTTGCATGTCTGCGAGCTGCCATCAGGAAAACGCACCCGGGGATTCTCGTGGACGATGTGGTTCTCCGTGACAACACCAGGCTTCATGTGGCAAACAGGACTGCCACCCAACTTCAGTCATTCAAATGGGAGATTATGGCACATGCACCGTATAGTCCAGACCTCGCCCCCAATGATTACCACGTATTCGGTCCACTGAAGAAGTTCCTGGCAGGCCAGAGGTTCATTTCTGAGGATAACGTGAAAACCACTGTCCAGCTGGTTACGTGCTCAATCGACCAAATTCTACAACAGTGCCATCTCCAAACTAGTGGTGCAATGTGACAGATGCTTGAACTGGGGTGGCGACTGTGGAAAAATAGTCAAAGGTACTTAGAACACTGCCTGTATTTTGATTTTCCTGTATCCCTAAATAGTTTTAACTGTTGAGTTACCAGTGTTATGTTAACACTTATATGTGAGCCAGGCTAGCTCAGTTAGTATGGTGACAGGCTCCAGGCTGGACTGCCAAGGAGTTGGGGTTGAATTCATGGCACAGTAAGAGATTTCTCTCTTCTCAGTGTCCAGACTGTCTCGGGCCTACCCAGTCTCCTGTCCAGCGGGCACTGGGACCTCTATCCTTAATTAAGCACAGGGACAACTTTACCTTACCTTATGTGACATTTATATTACATTATGTATATCATGTTTGTTGTTCCAGACTTCAGGAAGATCCGCCAACTGGTGTGAGTGGTGCGCCTACAGATAACAACATAATGATATGGAATGCTGTGATATTTGGGTATGTGATGAGGGAAATAATATAGCTGTTCTTTCCAGTTGTCAGATTTTAGGATAGCAGCAGTAATTCTCAAGAACATTCTTAACAGTACTGTCAGTAACTTGCACTACATAGCATCAAATGGTTGGATGTGAATACTGAATTTGAAAGGTTATGGAAGGAACTGGTTGTGGCCAAATGAAAGGTATTATGAAATTAGCCTGGAGGGACTAAGGAAAGCCTCAGAAACCTCAGTCAGAATAGTTTATGTCCTTGCCTGGATTTGAACCAGGCACTTTCCAAATGGAGGTCAGAAGTGTTATGAATTGAGCCAACTTGCTTAGTGTAAAATTGTTGAATTAATGTTCACTGAAGGCATTTAGTGACTCCAATAAATGTAATCTCTTTGTTAGAAAGTGTTCTCATGGCAGATTGTGCTGTAAGAATTTGATTGATTGCACGCTCAAATGTAGCAAGAGAACCCAAACTGTAACTCTGCTGACTTCCATTGGAATTGGTCCAATCTGAATCTTGACTTGTCCTATATCATGTATAATGATCCATGGATATGAAGTAAATAAATAAATAGATGTGGCATCAGCTATCTTCTGATTAAGATTGTTATGGAGTTCCTGAGTCACTGCAAATTGTGGGAGGAACCTAGAATCAGGTCACAGATGTGACCTTCCTATTTGATACAGTTCAGTGCACATGACCATCCTCTTATATCATGCAACAGTAGATGACACACTATTGGAACAGAATCAGTAAGTAATTTTACAGTAATTTTAAATTTACAGGTGGATGACTATTGCCATATCAGAACAGTACATTATGAGCTGGAAGTACATTTATTGTAGGACACAGGACACAGGGGTTCTTCTGGTTGTTGAACTGTTGCAAGTGGGGTGATGTATTGTAAGATTGTGAGGTGTATGGAATTTGTAGGTAGTTGAGTTTCATAGTATGGTTGACTCATGTACAGTATGTTGTGTCATATTGACTTGTTCTATATCCAGAAGTTGTATCACCAAATATGGATTCTTGGAACAAATAAATTGATTGATTAATTGATCGATAATATTAGGGAAAGCACCATAATCAGTCAATATTGTTGTTGTCAGAAGCTGAAATTTCAGTTGATAACAGTGTCAGCTGTTTCCTTAATATTCTTTTTATTTTAAATCTTTGTAGTTACTATAGGATACTGACGATGGTGTATAACACACAGAGATATTGGGTTTTCGGACTTTATCCATCGTCCTGGTTTTTAAGATAACTAATAAAAACACAACGTTTCGGAAACTGGATCTGTTTCCGTCCTCAGGTGAGGGAAAAACACCTATTCTGTGGGGTCCCTTAGAAAGAGCTAGCCTCAATCACTGGACCAGTTTCCGAAATGTCGTGTTTTTATTAGTTATCTTAAAAAACCAGGACAATGGATAAAGTCCGAAAACCCAATATCTCTGTGTTATATCTTTGCGTTTAAAGAGTCCCAGGCCTGTGTGTACAATCCAGGTGTTGCCCATATCATAGCAGTTCATAGAGCCTGCAGTTGCTATTATCAACAGTGGGAAATTAAAAATCAAATTTGCCTTCAGTGGTATGGTGTTTATACCATTTTCATGGGTCATTCATTGCTAGATCCATTCTTTCTTGTCTTTATTCAAAATGACATATTCTTAACAGTAATGGTGTCATCAAATAAGTAAAGAATAAATCAGTGCTTATGACACTTATTTATTCGGGATTGTAATTGAAGTCAATAATTTTCATTACAGACCTCATGATACGCCGTTTGAAGATGGCACCTTTAAGCTTACGATAGAATTTACAGAAGAGTATCCTAACAAACCCCCAACAGTGCGATTTGTTTCAAAAATGTTCCATCCCAATGTGTATGCAGATGGGGGAATATGTTTAGATATTCTGCAAAATAGGTGGAGTCCTACATATGATGTTTCAGCTATTTTGACTTCTATACAGGTATGTTTCTTAGCATACGATGGATTTAAGGATGTTTACAGTGGACGTAAAGATATGTTGAGAGTCTTGTTTAAGGAGATTCTTTATTGCAGTTGCTTTCTCAGCTTCACCTTTGAATAAGTCCTGAAAAAAGTCTTAAGAAAGTTGGTGGAAGTAGTGGAATACATGGGCGGTCACGGTAGCCAAGCGGTCTAAGGCATGTACTGTCTTCGCTCGCTTGGAAACCGGGATCATGGGTTCAGATCCCACTCAGGGCTGGATGTTTAGTTTGTGTGTGTGCGTTTTTCTGTGTTTGTGTACAGGTAGAGGCCTTGCGACGAGCTGATCACCCGCCCAAGGAGTCCTACCGAATGTGTAAGATCTAAAAAACCGAAGTGATCGGAGAAGTTCATGGAGGTAGGCCTAGGCCCACTGGGACTGTAGTGCCAAGGAAGGAAAAAAAAAAGTGGAATACATTAATTACATGTGGTTCTATACATTCACTGCCCCATATGCCTTTGTGGCATAGTGTTTAATTAGTTAAGCACAGGGACAGCAGGGACAAATCATTTACATTAGCTGGTGGTAAGTGTTGATGTTAATCACTTAATCAAAGATATATGGATCATAAAGTACATCAACTGTATTGAAAGCCTGTGAGGTTTGTCTAGGAAAAAAGTTTCTATCTCGTACCAGAATGCAGGACAAAATAATAATGTAAAAATAGGTAATAAGTGCTATGAAGATGTGGCAAAGTTCATATACTTAGGAATAACAGTCATAAACCAAAATTACTTTCTTGGTGAAATTACGAGCATGTGTAATTTGGGAAATTCATGCTGCCTTTTAGTTTAGAATCTTTTTATCTCCATGCTTCATATCTAAATACCAAAGAATTTTATATAATCTGCCTTGTCATATATTGGTGTTAATCTTGATGCCTCCAAGGGAAGAATGCAGGGTAAGGGTTTTGAGAAAATGCTAGAGATATTTGGACCTAAGAGAAGGAAAATACCAGGAGATTGAAAACAACAGCATAATAAAGGGCTTTATAATTTGTACTCTTGAACCAAATGAAGGAGGACAGAATAAGTCGGGCGTTTAGTTTTTGTTGTTGGGAAACCTCAAGGGAGGGGGTTATTTGAGTAATTTAGGCTAGATGAGATGATAAAAGTGGATCCTGGCAAAGTGGTGTGTAAGGTGTACTGGACTTAGGTAGATCTGTTATACCTATATATGATATAACTCCGTCCTAAGTGCAAACTATATTTATGGGTCTTTCGTTTTGTTCCTCTCTATACACTACATGTTTCGGCCCCAAACAGCCATCATCAGGTGTATACACTCACGTATCTGTTACACTGCACTTATTTATAACATTTAAAATTTAAAACATAGGTCTTCCTGATTAGCACTTATAAAATCTTCGGTTCTAATTTGAAATCCTTTAAAAAATGTTTCTTTAAATTTTTAAAATCTTCAGTTCTAATTTGAAATCTTTTAAAAAATGTTTCTTTAAATTTTTAAAATCTTCAGTTCTAATTTGAAATCTTTTAAAAAATGTTTCTTTAAATTTTTAAAATCTTCAGTTCTAATTTGAAATTCTTTAAAAATGTTTTCTTTAAATTTTTAAAGGATTTCAAATTAGAACCGAAGATTTTATAAGTGCTAATCAGGAAGACCTATGTTTTTAAATTTTAAATGTTATAAATAAGTGCAGTGTAACATACGTGAGTGTACACACCTGATGATGGCCGTTTGGGGCCGAAACATGTAGTGTATAGAGAGGCACAAAACGAAAGACCTATAAATATAGTTTGCACTTAGGACGGAGTTATATCATATATCATATAAAGTGCAACAGGATGCTTAAATATAATACTGTTATACCTAATTCATCAGACTCAACGTATCAGGCTTGTTTGGGTCGCTGTTGTTTCCATGTAATACAGACGGTAGGGTCAGGAGGAACCTCTGATGTTGAGTAATTTCATCAATATGTTGTGACTGAAGAAGCAATCTGAGTATTACGCCATCATAGAAACATGACATTATTATTGACCAGAGGGTATGGTGCTAATTTACTCTTTGCTGAAACATGGGAAAGTGTGAAGTACCCAAGTCTCTAATCTAACTTTAATATTTCTGTTGATGTATGTAAAATACCTCCTGTTAATTCTTGGTTGTTATTGTTGTGAAGGTATGTTGTAAAGTCATGTAGTAAAATATGTCCCAGTGGACACTTCAGGTTCATCCTTTACCATGTCTTCTTAATAGAGTGCTTAGGAATGGTATTTTGTAGATTAATCTGTACCGTATAACTGATTTTACTTTTGCCATCTGATGTTCCTTCTTAACCTGTTATTGTAGGAATTAACTATGACAGCGTCTCTCTTAACTCTTTGGGGCACAAAAATTTCTATCACGTAGGCCTGGTATGACATAACACCCCATAGTGTTTGGATGTTACCTTGAATGCTTCTTCTTTGGATCATGATATATGCAAAACTGACATCTGCAGAACCCCTTATTATTACAGGGTGTGGTGCTTTATTAACAAATATGGTACTGTTCAAACTTAGCTTCACAATTAGCATCTGTCTACACTTGATGCAAAACTTCTCCAAGCCCGAGCTGTATTACAGAAAGAGAGGAGGGAAGACAGTAGATTGAAAAGGCAAGGGGGGAGTAAGAGGAAGGATTAAGTTCATTCCATATGTGCTCTTGCTAGGCGGTCTCTCTCTCTCTCTCCCCTTCCCAGTACCCAGGTGGCAGGCCAGTCTGTCTTTGTATTTGTAATGGTCAACAAAGCTTTGAGATGTATTTGCCACATCTGTACTTCACTACATTACACCTTTGAGCGTGTAATCATTCAGACTCTTCATATGACTTTTGTTACTGCTGTTTATAATTTTCTTCAAAACCATTCGTACATGAAGGCCCCTTCATTTCTCACAAGGTTCTGACACATCTTTAACGGTATGCATGGCATCTTGGCTGTTTACTACATATGAGACACTGGTCTCTCCTACAGTGTGTCAGTTTACACATCCATAGTCTCCACTATGTCATCCTGTTTCTTTCCTGTTGCATTGTTCGGTTCTCTTTAACCCACTTTGGCTTACCTAACAGTTCCATGTAATGCCCAGACTCATGATTGGCTTATGAACTAATAATACTTCTCAGTTAGTACCTAGTTTCGCTTCCTCCTCAGGGCAGTGATACTCTGTTTTTGCTTGTACTTTAGAATGCCTCAATACACTTGTGTAATAGTAGTATATGTAGTGCAACTTGGTGGCGGTGAAATATTATTTCTTTCATCAGGTATTGTTCAGAATTAATCCCACTTCCATTGTATTTTCTTGTACCCAAAAACCTGAATCCCAGTGGGTTAACATTGGTGTCAGAAAGTTGGCTCATAGATGGTGACTTGTTTAACTTGTTAGTTTTGTTTTGTGACTGAAGTGAGGTAGAAATAAGTTTCTGTTAAATGCCATTTCATTTTGACTTAAAAGTCTACTAACGGTGTGTTTTCACTTTCAGTCACTTTTAAGTGATCCAAACCCCAACTCCCCAGCCAATTCCATGGCCGCTCAACTGTACAAGGAAAATCGAAGAGAGTATGAGAAGAGAGTGAAAGCCTGTGTGGAGCAGAGCTTTGTAGACTAGTGATCTGTTGTCCAGTGCGCCTCAACTAACAAAATTAAATACTGTGGCTCTTTTATTACTGTTTACCCATTGTGTTATTGTTGTGCCAGAAAACAACATGTAGAGTTGGTGTTGAGATCTTAAATTGACACTGATGAGCACAGAATAATTTTGTACCACAGTGGGGTTAAAACCAAGCCAGTTAGCTTATGGAGATATGGCTTTAAGATTTGCAGAGGTTACATAATAGCTTAGAAGCTATTTATGTATGTGTGTGTGTTAGCGTGATTGTGGCCACAACAAGCCTGTGTTGTAATAGAGAAGCTGATGTAAATACAGGTTATGGAGTTGTCATTAGAGTGCATTATCAGATATACTACAGCATGCTTAAAGCAGATTTGTAGTGCTGAGTAATATTTGTCAATCATATATGACTTATACTTCCAAGAATGCGTATATTAGGAACCCTGACGATGTGTCGGTGCTACTCTGCAGTGCTGTCTGATGAACAGAATTGCATGTATCTTTATGTGCATTAGAGTAAGCTGAACAGACAAGTGGAAGAATACTCACGAATGGTACTGAATGTGTATTATGAGAAGTCTTGTGCTGAGTTTCTCACAGTTTAATATTAAGCTGTTAGAATAACCCATGATCTTGGCACTACATTTGTTTAAGAGTGCAGACATCATCATTTACAATTTGTAAATTCTTTAAGGTCAGTAGGTGAAACTATGCACTGCTGCACTTCACAGACATGTAGAACAGTATATGAGGAAAACACAAAGAAGCATGTCCTTTTACATATATATATGCTGCACACTGAAACTGAACACATTTTCCTCTCTGTCCCAAGAACTGAACTATGGAAAGAAAGTATTCATAAAGGGAGACATGATGCCACAAGAGAAACATGGGATTCTGATATGAGAAGAAACAAATTTTGTTTGTCAAGAAAGGCTTGAGGCTTGAAAGGAATTAGATTATGTGTAAACAGTTTACATGTCATTCATCTATGAGCTGATTTTAATTTGTTTTTATGTAGAATAATTTGTACCTTTCCATCGTAAACGTTCTGTTGCTTCATAACTGTATTTATTCATCTAACCTCAGAATAAATTTTCACTGAATATAATTTGTTGGAAACATTCAAGTAGAGTTTCACTTTAAATCTCATCGCATCAATTTGTAAGTCCATTCCTACCCATAAATCCGATTTGTATTAAGTGAATACGGTAAAAGTGTTGTTACATCCAAATTATATATTCGTGTCCTTTCAAACTCCCATAGTGAGAACATGCATTTGGTAAATAAAAGATATTTCTTGTGTGTATTCTGTTCCTCAAGATGGGCCTGGTCATTCATTGCATTTTACACGCAGAGCATAAAGAACCGTGTGCACACGTGCACGCATCAACATGACATTGAATACAAAAGGGTTGCAGGGGAGATGCTTGTCTTTTGTGCTGGATGGAACAGTGTGGGAAAAAATAACTGAAGTCTGGCTGGAAATAATCTCATACCAATTTTCCCTAAGTTCATACAGAAAATTGTTTAAATATAAGGGCATTTAACCATTCCTCTGTGTGGAGAAGGGAGACTGATGGTGATTGTATCACTGTAGGAACAAAGTTTATTGAAATCAGTGCAGTGTAAAATATATTTCACTTCAGCTCTTTAGGAAGTTTCTCTGGAGTGTCCTACAGGTATATGAAAGTATTACTTGACAGTACCAGAAGTATGTCTCTCCTCTTCTCTTGTAGAGATATAAGCTGGTATCACAGGCAGTGAAATTAGAGGTTCATTTATCTGTGCCATAGTTCCTAGGTTATGCATAAAACATTGAAATTAAAATGTAAATACTAATCTTTAATCCTCTGACAGTAGTTTCATATAATTAATAAAGGGTCTTTGTATTAGTCTCTCTTGGATGAACCGAATCCAAACTCTCCAGCTAACTCACTGGCAGCACAGTTATATCAAGAAAATAAAAGGGAATATGAAAAGCGTGTAGCTACAGTCGTGGAGCAGTCATGGCTGAACTTCCAAGAGACACGGGATGAATCAGCAGATGAGACCAACAGACAGTAGAACATCCAGAACACAAGTGTTAGAACAGCAATCCCGCATGCATTTCCATGCATACACTGCTAAGTTGCATCTCAGCATAAATACATGGACAGTGGCAAGAGACAGACGTGAAACAGCTTTTTGGGTGGTGTTTGAAACGGAACTGTGATTAATGAACTCTGAAGTAAAATTTCATAGTTTGTTGGTACTCTTTCATTAAGAAATGTAATATTGATATTTCTTAAGTCTGATAACTTTTATTTCCCCCAACATTCAACTTCTGTTGATAGTTACATCAACAGAAGAACCAGTGAGTGAGATAAGTGTGGACTGACAGATGAATGATGTTCTGTTTCCTCCATCTCTTTACATTATGCCAGTTACCAACATTCCCCATCCTTCTCTTATGACTAGTAATGTCATGAGGCTCCAAAGGTATAAATACCATATTAGTATGGCTGTATTGTAACAAGCCTTGAAGTGCACATTTCAAATCTGAAACATTTATGCACTCCTGTTTTGCTTGTGCAGACTGTACAGAATTCTGAGACTATTTTTATGACTTCTGAAATGAACAAAGGGCATATTAAAGTATCTTTAGTGTCCTGTCGCATTAAACTGTATTGTAAGTGCAAGGAAGTGATAAGCTCTTTGTTTCACAGGGTAGTCAAGTGATCTTGCAATACTGCTTGCCAATGAACCCCGGAATCATTGTTTATTATAACTGATTCAGTAACAGAATTTCAATATTAAAATTATATTCTCAAGTTGACATCTTGTTCCTTCAGATGAAATTTGTAAGATGTGATTTCACTTTTTAAATTTTGAAAATTGTTTTTAACCATAGTGATGCATGCCATTTTTCACATCAGTTCATTTGGACATAAAAATGAATTTAATTTTTAATAATGTGTCTTGCAGGTAATGGAAATTTAAGCAGCTTATGTTAAGTATAGATTTAACTTGGCACCAGGACAGCTGGCATTTGAGTCCTGGCAGGGTCAAGAGATTTTTCTTTACCCCACAGCATCGAGACTAGCTTGGGGGCCCACCCAACCTCCTAACCAATGGGTACTAGGGGCTCGCCTCCCAATGAAAATTTGGCCAGTGGATGAAGCTGACCACTTCCATCAAGTGCCAAGGTCAAGAATGGTGGAACTTTACCTTCACCTTGTCTAGATTTAGGTTACACTACAATTCAGTTGTTTACCAAATGTGACCCAGTTTCACCAAAATGAGAAGCTGTTTCCTTCATTAAGGTCAGTGGATCTTTATCTATAGTCTACACTGCAAGTGTATAAGTTACTCAGAACCATTACTATGCAGTCAGGCATTATGCTGTTGCACATGAATAATTTATTTTTGATAACAAGCCACTTCTCATCAACATTTACTGTGTTGCTGACATCACAATTATAAAAATACATTGTAGGAATGATAACTTGTAAACTGTAACACATGTTCAGGTGGTAAAACATGGACTAATTAGTGCCATTTATGCATTTAAAAATGGCGTAGCAATGTAAGCTCAAGGTACTAACTCATACAGTTTTTTATGTGAAATGTGGCACATCAGGTTCACTGACAAAATCATGAGATATGCCTGTCAGAAGGTCCATTACATATTACGAACGAGATATAGCTAGTTTGGCTTCCTCTGAGCTAATTGTAGCATATTCTCTGAAGAGTTTTGAATCATAAGAATGTGTCAATAATTATAATTCGGATTGCATGATTGTGACTTGCTGGTGTAGTAGTATAGGTCCCTCTTTCTGTTGCAACATGTTACAAACTCTATAAATTGAAGGCCCTGGCACAGTAATTAAAAAAATATATTCTTATATGGCACACATTTGACAAGTTTTATTTTTCTGAGTATGTATGAATTTGGCTAAAAAAATAAATAATTTAATACTGTTTCAAATACTGAGTTATATTTAATTAATACCTGAATATTACCTATGTATGTCACCATCATTTTGTATTTTCTCACTGCCTCAAAGTGAACAGAGTCTTCTGAAACAGTGATGAAATTCTCCAGGTACGATCATTTGTTCCAGTACAAAACAGAAACTGGGATGTTAACAACAAATAGGAATTCCGTCGTTTGAAGCAGGAACTGACCGATATTTTGAAATTCACGTCCCACCTCTAGTAAACCTGCTGATTCTCAATTCCAAAGGTCAATCTGGCATGTAAAAATTATATATTTCTTCAGCCGTGACTAGTTTATCATAAACACACAAATTTCCTTATACGTTACGTTCTGCATACACATTATATGTTGTGGCAGAACGAGATTTAGGTATAAAGACCAATTTGGCATACTTTAATTATAATAAATTTCATTCCGTTGTACTTCACATACTTTATGTTATAGTTACACGAGTTAGATAAACAATACTGCAACACTAGGATAAAAGAAAAACTGTAACTGCTTATATGGTAGGCGAATGTTTAGTGCAATCATTCACTTTTGAAACGTTGTCAGCATTGGACTGCGTTTCAACTGTTGCAAATGGCTAGTTTCTGTAATTTCTGGCGCGAAATATGTTCAGAGGTATAACAAATTTGAATACCGCGATCTCAAGGATCTCAAGTGAGCAATTTGCCTATTCAATTACAGTACAGTCGATCACCGAGATTTACGTTGGCCTCAACGCTTCTATTCAAGGTCTCATACATAACACCATGCATTGCGATACGTTTCACGAGACATTCTTCTGCGGAGCGCAAACGTTGATTACATGCAATATCAACTTCTACACATGGTATTCTGCCCGTGATGCGTTACTAATGCATTCGTCGCAATTTTTAGTATCAAAAACTCGGAACTTCATACATCCTTTGCAATCTGCGTCATGATGCATTTATCGCGACGTTTATCAATGTGCATGGAGGACGTTGGAATTTAGAAACTTTAGAAACGAATATTTTATAGCGTTCGTCTGTATGCGGACAAGCGTTCGAGGGGAGGGGTTTTCGCGCGGCGCAAGTTATTGTCATTCATTTATATTAACACGGTTCTATATAACATGGTCTGAATTATGTGCGAAAAGTTTTCAAACCTGTGCTTCTTATAGGTATTTAAATTTATGTTCAGTTCTTCTTTGTGCGTGTAAAATTGATGACAGTGGAACGTATCAGTCGTAAATAGCTCTGTGCTGTAATTTAAAACATTTATGGAATTTAAATGTTCTAAATAAGTGTGAATAAATGAACAGAACATTTTGTTGTTTCTTCTATGTGAGAAAACCCAGCTTTCTGCAGAATGTATTTTCCATTTCTGTAGGGTAAGTGTTCTTGTTTATTGGTCATTCATACTTACGTTTCTTTCCAAGATTCTAATAATTTCAATTATAACTGTGTGTCAGAAGTTATTTGCTTGTGCAATAGCTTACAATCATGTGAACGTATATTCTGATGCAGTTCAAGGCAATAATCTGCCCCATAATATGAACAAAAAAGAAAATTGTAAAAATTAAATACACACTCAGAATTGTCAATAGTCAGCACTGCTATTCTCTCTCATCCTTTCCATCATACAGCCCTTTTTATACCTGTATGTGCTATGGATATTAAAAATCACAATCCTTCCATCAGTTCAGGGAGATTCCCAAACTCCTTTTACTTTTCAGATGATACTTTAATACTGCTGTTGGAATTTTGTCACAGTCAATTTTTGTATTCTACAAATTCTGTTATTTGTGGGATTTATAGTACATCCACGATTCTTCTTTCTTTCTTTCATGGTCCAGAAGGGTTTATCATTAAACACATTTCTGCTGACATCAGTCTTTCCTCATTGTTTCTTATTATTGTTGGGTAGCAGTCATGGTAGGGAAATTGGACCCATGCTCAAAGAGGGCCTGGGTGATAGATTTGATATTGTTAGTATCATTAAACGAAATGCTCCTCTTGCAAATGTTGTTGAGGACCTAGGGAAGCTTGGTAAAGATCTTACCAAGCAAGATCATATTATTATAGTGGGAGGGCCAGGAAACAGCCTGGATAGAAATTTTAATTACTCTATAGAAGAGGACATCAACAATATTGCAGAGAGGACAGTCAATACAAATGTGGGATTTGTCAGCCTTTTCAGGAGGCACGACAAGCCGTGGATGAATGGGGAAGTTAGGAAAATTAATCTTCGGCTTGAGCGGGCACTGATGGGATCTGGTAGAGCACACATTGGTATTATTAACTCAGATTATTTTGTGAGAGGTGACTTCACGGCGCATGGCCTCCACCTAAATTATCAAGGCAAGAGGAAGCTGACGCATTTGATTGCTGAAAGAATGGATGATGGTCATGTGTCTGAAGTAAGCAGTATTCCTGTTATAACCTGTGCTAGAGCAATGCCTTTTTTAGATTAAAATCAAAAGCACAAAGGTGCTTAACATATATAAATTGCAATTACCATGATTTTGAATTTCTAAGCAAAAATGTTAACTTAACAAACATATCATTAAATATATTTCATCAAAATATCAGGGGACTAAGAAACAAAAATGATGAATTATTACATTCATTTGAATTAAATGGCATAAACCCCCATATATTATGTTTAAGTGAACATCATATGGTGGAACAGGATTTACTACACCTCACATTAGAGGGTTATTTATTAGGTTCTAGTTTCTGCAGGCGAAACCTACAGAGAGGAGGTGTGTGTATTTTCATTAAGAAAGATAAATGCTTCAATAAAATTGATATTTCATGTCACTGTACAGAAAAAGATTTGGAAATTTGTGCTGTTCAGCTAGGAACTAAATCATCTAACTTAATTATATTAGGCCTGTATAGATCTCCGTCGGGGGATTTTAACCAGTTTCTAAAGGGATTAGATGCTGCTTTAAAGTATTTATACAATCCAAAGTCTGAATTCCTGATTTGTGGTGACATAAATATAGACTATCTCAGTGACAGCAACCGAAAGAAACAATTGAACTCATTATTAAAAACATATAATTTGGTACATACTGTAAACTTTGCAACAAGAATTCAAAAGGACTCTAGCTCAGCAATTGACAATATTTTTGTTGATATTACAAGATTTAGCTCTTCCTCCACAGTTCCCATTATAAATGGCCTATCAGATCATGATGCACAGTATCTCATGATGAACAATATTGCTCTAGCAGGCAACTCTATATATCAGAAACAGAAAATAAGAAAAATAAACAGTGAAACAATAATGCAATTTCAGCACCTTCTAAAAAGTGAAACATGGGAATGTGTTTATAAAGAAAATGACACCAATGATAAGTACAACTCTTTTCTGTCTACTTTTCTAAATATTTTTGAAGCCAGTTTCCCAATTAAATATAAAAGTGTGCGCAAACTAAAGAATGACTGGATTACACAGGGGATAAAAATATCATGTAAACATAAGAGGACTTTATATGTCAACAGTAGGAACAATAATAATCCAAATATAAGAGTATTTTATGTTAAGTATTGTAAAATTCTTAGAAATGTTATAAAAGAAGCTAAAAAGCAGCATTATAGAAGACTTATAGCTAAGTCAGATAATAAAATAAAAATGACATGGAACATAATTAAAAGGGAGACAGGAAAAATGCATTTAACTGATCAGATGCCATCTCTTCTGGCAAAATCTGAGAAAGCAAAGGATCTAGAAATAGTTGCCAACGACTTCAATAAATTTTTTCTAACAGTTGCTGAGACCTTAAATTTACATCAGATGGGAAATGAAAATGCTTTCTCATTTTTAAAAGATGCATTTCCCATAAATTTTCCTAGTATTAAAATCATTCCAACCAGTGAAGCTGAGATAAAGAATATTATACACACCATGAAAACAAAGAACTCATCAGGATTTGATGAAGTAACAAGCAAAATTCTGAAAGCTTGCTCTGATTTAATTAGTTGCCCTTTAACTCACATTTGTAATCACTCATTATACACAGGCATTTTCCCAGACCGTCTAAAAATTTCAATAGTAAAACCAGTGTTCAAAAAAGGAGATAAGTACAGTATGACGAACTATAGGCCGATTTCATTATTATCTACTTTTTCTAAGATACTTGAAAAGGTCATGTACAGCAGGATAAATCAGCATATGCATTGTAACAACATATTGGTCCCAGAACAGTATGGCTTTAGGAAGGGTGTATCCACTGAAGATGCAGCATTCAAGCTAACAGACAATGTTTTAAAATCAATTGACCAAAAAAGGCATGTAGGAGGAATTTTCTGTGATCTGGCAAAGGCTTTTGACTGTGTAAATCATGAAATTTTGTTAAGTAAGCTGCAATTTTATGGCATTCGAGGAACAGTGTTAAAATGGTTCAAATCCTATCTAACAAATAGAAAACAAAAGGTTGAGATAAAATCACCCAAATATACTCAAAATTTTTTCTCAAACTGGAGAACAGTAAAGCATGGAGTTCCCCAAGGATCTGTCCTGGGACCCTTGCTTTTCATAATATATATAAATGACCTTCCACCAACAATAAATTTTTCATCAGAACCCATAATATTTGCTGATGATACAAGTGTTATAATCTCTAGTAAAATGTTTGATGATTTCTGTGCAATATCAAACAGAGTACTCTCCCACATGAATAAATGGTTCAATGCTAACAGACTTGCCCTAAATTTAAACAAAACAAATGTAATGAAATTTACAACAAATAATGCCCCTCCCTATGTTTTAAATATTGGATATAATGGAAAATATATAGAAGAGACAGTAAATACGAAATTCCTTGGCTTGCAAATTGATAGCCACCTAAGTTGGTCGAACCATATAGATAAATTGATCCCTAAGTTAAGTGGAGCATGCTACGCAGTTAGAAGCATGTTTCATGTCAGCAATACTGAGACTCTCAAATTGATTTATTTTGCCTATTTTCATTCTGTAATGAAGTACGGAATAATTTTTTG